ACGGCTCATACGTGAAGGGGTCCTTCCACCCGTGGTAGTCCCAATAGTCAGTGGAACGCCAGCACCACTACGGCGACGCCATCCCCGGAGTCCTGTGCCAGCCGCGCCGCCACGGCGTCCACCTCGGGCGACGCCCCACACCCCTGCGACACGAACAGCTCCACCAGCATCGGGCCTGGGGCCGCCTCCTGGTGCTCGCCCTCGGCCGTGGTCTCGTCGTCTAGCGCTGACGCCGTCACGCCGCCCCTGCGCCCGAAGCATGCTAGCAGCCACGACGCCATTGGTGGGGTGGTGGTAGCTATGTCGTAACCAGCTAGCTAGCGAGCGAGCGAGCTGCCGTGCGGCGGTGTCTGCGGCCGGCGTTCGCAGCAGCTGGGTAGGAACGTCGCGATGAAGGGAACGGATCAGGCTAGTGAGCTCGCTGGCGCGTTGGCCCTTGGCACGCAGGGGCAGAGTTGGAGAAAGGAGCCACACGCGGCCGGTGGCGAGCTATGCGCGGGCAGCATCGGGCTCGACTGAGAGGCTGAGGAGGAAGAAGGTGGCCGGGTCACTTACAGCTTGGGCCTACCGGGGCAGAGAGAGAAAGAAGAGAGAGGATAGGGTTATGAGAGAAGGGTATTCCGAACATTGTCACCGGTCGGGCTCATATGTCAAGGCTGTCAAACAGTGGAAATCAAACAAAAGGTGGATGGAATGGCATGGAAGGCAAGAAAGTTTAGTGTCATGGCATCAGGGTGCGTTCGAACTTTTTAGTGTAGGTCAGGACCATCTTTCATAATGGCACACAGGTAAAAGGCTCCACAGAAACACACAGGTCACCCATAGCCGGCTGCCACCGACGCCGATGCCATGGGGATCCCCGACAAGCATGGCCGCCGCCGCTTCCTTCCCCAAAAGAGCACTCGCCGATGGAATCCAATACTCTCAGGTCCGCCCGCGTTCCTTACCCTAACCCTCGCTCCATGCCTCTCTTTGTTTTCCTTTGGTTTAGTTTCGTTGGTTGGTAGATGTGGAGACAGATTGAAGCATCCAGCAGGTAGGGATTAGGGAGCCTATATTTCCTGTGTCAAGCAATAGTCTCACGTGTATCGTGCCCTCATGTTGGTTTGGTGTGCTATGTTGCTATGGATTCGTTAATGGTCATGCCCTTTATCTCGCTGCCTAAAATGCTCATGCTCACTGAAATCAGAGTTTTCTTGCCTATTGTTTGTTGCGGACTGCTAAAGCGCGTCAGTTGTATTACCTTGGAAAATACTACGTTTATGTGGCCTCCGAGCTCGGTTAACGTGTCTTTTGTGTACCAGGTTACTCTTACTGCATTATCGCCTCTCCTAAGAGATCCTTACTGGAGTTCAGATAAATTAGTGCCTTGTAGACCTTTAGTACATCATGTGGTTCTCGTTTCGTGATAGCACAGGGGTCCAGGAAAAGCTCAGCAGATGGAACTATTAAAATTTGAAAAATAAAAAATCTTAGCTGAAACTAATTGCATGGTTTTCTGAGATTTAGCAAAGGCCAAAGGTGTAATTCAGCTGCTCAATGTACCAGTTTGCCCCTGAGTAGCCTGAACTATCTAGATAATAATGGAAACTTCTTTTCCTTTTTTAATTTAACTTCAAAATTCTCATTGCTTGATGAGTTGATTTTTTATGTCTTTGGGGTACCTGATTCAAAGTATTGTCGCCATCATGAGAGATGGAAAAAAAAAATACATGGATTCCTCAGGCTACTAAGAAATATATCTATGTTGATGTGCAAGTTGTGGGTGGTATTGTCGTACTTTGCTTTGATTGATGTTTGGCATGCTTCTATACATCCTATTCGGGAGTTTAATGAAATGGATATTCCTTACCTGCCTTGGTCTGTAGCAAGAGCATTTTGCATTTTGAACATTTTTTTTATTTGTCATTTCATCCCATTAATCCATCAGCATTGAATTTTCTGTGTTTGACAGGGAAGTCGCCGTTGCAGAAAGCTCATCCAAGAAAACCTGCCACGCCTTAAGCTCTACCCGCTCTTCCGCACCTAGCCCTGATGTTTGGGCAGATCTCCTGGACAGCCTGCTTCTCCAAATAATTATCCTCGTTAGCTCATTCCATGATCTCCTTGCTTTCATTGGCACCTGCCGCTCTTGGCGCGCCGTGCTCTCTTCCCCCCCACCTTTATTTACCTTCAACATCCCACCTCTCCACCTTCGACCAGATGGTTATGATTCTCATCCCCATCACAGTCTTTTATCCAATATCAGTTGGCAGCTTGTTGATCCTGTGAAAACCTTCAGGTCCACATGTAGTATTTGGGCTGCTCATATGGCTATCTTATATTCTCCAATATGGAGCAATTCCTCCTTGTCAATGTGTACAGTGGTGCTACCGTGCGGCCTCCCAAGCTCAAGTTCACTGACAACCGCAATGTCTACTATGGAGCCCTTGTAGCTCCGATCAATTTATCTAATTCCTGTCTCCTCTTTTGCTCAAGATCATCCATGTTTCGTGGCATGTTGGATCAGACTTTTGGTCTGAGCACCCTTTGGGTGTCGAATGCATTGTTCAAATCGTGTCCTTCAAAGGTGAGATATTTGCCATTGACTTCCTTGAGAGGCTCCACAGAATACAGTTGGAACCTCAGCTAAGCATGCAGCAAGTAGCAGTTGTCTGGGATGCGGACATGTTAGGCCTGTGGAATGCACCATGGTTGGTGGTCTGTGGTGACATGCTTCTCTTGGTTGACTTCTCAGTAAGCATCGATCCCTTTTCTCTATTATCTGGAACCTTTAATGTATTTCGCCTCGACTTTCAAGTTGAACCAGCTAAGTGGGTAAAAGTGGATGATCTAGGAGACAATGCCGTCTTTGTTAGTTTTGATAGAAGGAATCCAACATTTTCTTGCCTGGGTCCTGAGAAATGGGGTGGCAAAAGGAACTGTTTTTACATTGCCAACCCGTCTGCAGATTCTAATGAACTTTGGAGTGTGGTCGAACTTGGTCAGGTGGTGCTTGACCCAAAGCTGTGTACTAACAGTGCAGAAAAGAATCTACCCCGTGCCCAGTGGAGGCAACTGCAAAGCCTTTGGGAGCTTCCAGTTTTGTTTATGGTGTTGGCCAGTGACCAATCTATGCTTGTCTTGGAGTTTTGGCAATTCGTGGACACCCCTTTCCTTTGATGCTCTAATATGATGTATTAGCTAGTCCTGTGGCTTTGTTATTTCTAAACTTGGCATTCAATGCCCTGTACAAATTACAGTCAGATGTTGATGCTGATCTCATGATATATCCAGTTTCCAAACCAAATTTTCTCACTGTACTTCTGAACAGTAACTGAAACGTTTTTGTAGGAAACTGTTTCCTAGAACAGAGCTTAAAGTTCATTGTAGATGCTGATTATTTGAAGTACTTTAGCATTGTTGTGGTAGATGGTTGTATTATGGTTAGCCACAGACAATTGCTCTTTGTTACAGCAGTCTACGGTTGAGTTGAGAGCTAGGTGCTTCCACACAAACACAATTGTGTTGCATCCAACTGTTGCCTTCAGTCATCTACCAGGAACTTCTTTGCTGTCTGTTGGTGTGGATCCAGCTGTTAGCAATTCCTGTTAGATTGATATGTTTGATGTGAGACTGTTGAGTAAGGTCTGTTCAGTTATGGTCCAACGTTTCTCTTGCTACGGTCCAAGAGCAGGTGGAGGCATGACTGAGCATCTCTGGCATTACCAAAGACTAGTTATTAGGGAGGTACAAAACGTGTTTTGAGATTTTGAAGGTCTTCTCTTTAGCAGAACAAGAAAATTCAATCCCTAATAAAAAGAATAGTGGATTGAGAGAGAAGAGGTCTCCCTTTATTTAAGGAGCGAGAGGCTATGATTTGAGGGATCAAGAGAGTAATTAATTTGATAATGGATGTTGGGCCCGAGCCCGACGGAAGGATCGAGCTGGGTGGATGGATGCTCTGGGCTGGGAGCAGGTTGTCAGTTCCCGCTGTCCGGCGGCTTGTGTAGTTGTGTTTATAGCAAGGCTAATAATACAGCCGGCAGGCCGGCTCTAAGGATTTTTGCAGCATTCTCTTAGTTCACCCATATAATAGTTAGCTTTTCACTATTAATACATGGCTCACTTGTTTTTCTCACAAAGTTTCTCGATTCTCGTATCTAAGTTAGCTGTAAGCTTACAGCTCGCTTCTCTTCTCTGTCCTCTCCTCCTTCTCCGTCTCAGCTTGTAGCCTACCATTATACTTGCTCTTATGCGATTTCGTGATTAGAAAATTGGCCCGGATCCAATTGGAGGCCTGGTCCACCTCCACGCCTTGCTCGCACACTGCCCGTACGTGTGCGTCACGTACACTCTGCCGTGCTTCGGCCGGTGTGGTGGTGGTGACGTGTGTATGCGAAAATTGGCCCAGATCAAATTGGAGGCCTGGTCCCCGTACGTGTGCGTGACGTACACTCTGCCGTGCTTTGGCCGGTGTGGTGGTGGTGACAGTGTGTATGCGAGTGCACTGAGAGTCTAACCGTTCTTTTAGACCTTCTGTGGCAAATTTTGAAAGCTCATACGAGTGCCAGAGGCCGTGGTTAGCCGGTCCACTCGTTCAGCTAACCAAACTTGACGAAGAAAGCCACATCCCGTCACAACCTTAGTGCGCTAACTTTTGAAAGCTCTTTGAACGACGACTGTTTTGCCACAGCAGAAACCAGAAGGTGATAACCAGGTCACCAGGTCCATAGTTGTCGATGTGGGTCAACGATTCTTAACCGCCATTGTCAACCGTGACTGATGGACTTATGAACCATTGATAGAGACAGCACTACCAATGATAGTGCCTTCAAGTACATACAAGGGCTACATAATAAAGACCCCTCCAAGTCACTTTCCATCTCTCACGCACACATTGCCTGACTGCTTCAAGTGCAAGACACCTCCACATATATATACCAGAGATAAACTAGCTAGCTAGTGACAGAATTAGCCATTACTACCATTCTTCACCCCCACAGCAAAGCAGGTTAGCCATGTCGCCAGTTGGTCCTACTACCCTGGTTATGCTGCTTCTTTCATTGGTCTCCCTCGCCGCCTCATGCACCGAGCAGGAGACGAGCTCCTTGCTCCAGTTCATCTCGGAGCTGTCCCGGGACGGTGGCCTAAGCATTTCGTGGGGGAATGCCTCAGACTGCTGCGAATGGGAAGGGATCGCTTGCAGTTCAGATGGGACGACGGTCACTGATGTCTCCCTGTCTTCTAGGAGCCTTCAGGGGCCCATCTCGCCGTCCCTTGGCAACCTCACCGGCCTGCTGCGCCTGAACCTGTCCAACAACATGCTATCCGGAGGCCTGCCGCTGGAATTGCTGTCGTCTAAGAGCATTCTTGTCCTTGACGTCAGCTTCAACCAGCTTGACGGAAACATGGATGATCTGGCATCTCTAGCACCTCGCCAACCTCTGCAGGTACTCAACATCTCAAGCAATTTGTTTACGGGGCAGTTTACATCGACAACATGGAAGGCGATGGTGAATCTGGTCACACTCAATGCCAGCAACAACAGCTTTACTGGGCAGATACCAACGCATTTCTGCAACATATCTCCATCCTTCGCTGTGCTTGAAGTCAGCTACAACCAATTGAGTAGCACAGTTCCCAAAGGGCTTGGCAATTGCTCTGCACTCAGAGTTCTCAAGGCTGGCCATAACAACCTCAGAGGGTCACTCCCAGATGAACTGTTCAGTGCCACCTCGTTGGAGCACCTATCTTTCCCAAACAATTATTTGAATGGTGTACTTGATGGTTCACCCATAATGAACCTAAGAAATCTGGCAACCCTTGATCTTGGAGGGAACAATCTGGCTGGAAGTATCCCTGATTCTATAGGACAGCTCAAGGAATTGGAGGAGCTCCGTTTGGTCCTCAATAGCATGTCGGGGAGCTGCCATCATCACTAGGCAGCTGCACAAATCTCATAATTATTGACCTCAAGTTCAATAACTTCAGTGGAGAGATTTCCAAGGTCAACTTCTCCACCCTACACAATCTTGAAATTTTAGACCTTCTGGACAACAGCTTCACTGGCACAGTTCCAGAAAGCATATACTCTTGTAGAAATTTGATTGCATTAAGGCTATGTGGCAACAACTTATTGCATGGGCAACTTTCACCAAGAATTCGTAACCTGAAGTCCCTCACCTTCCTATCAATTGGTTATAACAATTTTACAAACATCACAAATACACTTCAAATACTTGCGAGCTGCAAGAACCTCACCGTCCTTCTTATTGGGTCTAACTTCATAAACGAGACTATGCCAGATGATGACAGCATCGATGGTTTTGAGAATCTTCAGGCTTTGAACATTGGAAGATGCCAATTGTCTGGGAAAATACCCCTTTGGATATCAAAGCTAGCAAAATTAGAGGTGTTGATCCTACAAGGCAATCGACTCAGTGGATCAATACCAACCTGGATCAGCTCTCTCAACTACGTACCTTTCCTTTTTAGACATATCAAACAACAGCCTTACAGGGGAAATTCCAACAGCAATAATGCTAGCTTCAGAGAAGACCGCAGCCCATTTTGACCCAAGGATCTTTGACCTGCCAGTTTACAATAATCCTTCACGTCAATACCGCATACATACTGTCCCTAAAATGCTAGATCTAAGCAGCAACAAATTGACGGGTGTGATTCCCTCAGATATTGGTCAGGTGACATCCCTCCTTTCACTCAATATCAGCTTCAACAACTTAACGGGACCGATCCCCCCATCCATCTGCAATCTCGCAAACCTGCTAGTGCTAGACTTATCCAACAACAACATCACAGGTGAAGTCCCAGCTGCACTGGAAAACCTGCACTTCCTTTCCAAATTCAATGTTTCCAACAATGATCTGGAAGGGCCTATTCCAACCGGTGGCCAATTTGGTACATTTCAGAATTCTAGCTTCGGTGGCAACCCAAAGCTGTGTGGATCAGTACTCGGTCGTCCATGCAGTTCCACAGAGGTGGGTCCAGTGTCTATTGTCGACAGAAAGCCGTTTGGAAGCAAGGTCATATTTGCAATTGCCTTCGGTGTTTTCTTCGGAGTAGGTGTGCTATATGATCAGATGGTATTGTACAGGTATTTTGGGCTAGAAAAAATTGTACTGGCTTGAAGATATGTGATTTACTGAGAAACAAAAAGATACAACTTTGTGCACTGTCATCACCATTGCCAACAATCCACGATAGATCTCACATATGTTGCTTCTGAACTTCAAGTGGCTGACTTCTTCACCAAAGCTTAAACAAAGGAACAGCATCATTTCTATCTTCACAAACTCAATGTGGATCAAACCCCATCTTGAGTTTGAAGGGGTGTGTGAAATGCAGTAGTAGTTAGTAGTATATTTGTATATAGCTCCCTATATTTGGCCCATGAGACCCATGGCCGAAGAGGCCTGATGTACTTGCTTATATGTACTCCCTCCATCCGCAAAAGAATGCAATTATGGGATCCGTGCCGGTCAATGTAGTTCAAATTTGACCAAGTTTATAGTAAATACTATTAGCATTTATGTCTCCAAATAAATTTATTATGAAAATATATTCTATAACGAATCTAATTGTATTTATTTTGCATCTTGAATGTTAGTATTTTTTTTATATAAATTTAATCAAAGTTCAAACTGCTTGACTCCTCGAAAAGCGAGAATTGCATTCTTTTATGGACGGAGGTAGTACATGCGAACACTGGATACCTGAACAAGTCTAATTATTGCATCTTCCACACTCTTCTAGCAGTATCGACCTCCGACTACATCACCCTCTGAACTAAAAAACGGCTTTTTAAACCCCCCCATCTTCTGCAAAATCGTTTAAACAACCCCTTTGGGTGGTTTTGCATAGTAGTTTTGCCACGCTAGCGCATTGAGTTGGACTGGGGTGCTGACATGGACCAGCTGACACGTGGGTCCCACTTGTCCATGGTTGAGTTGGATTGGATCTAAAAGTTAGGGTTCTTCATAGGGTGTTTTGTGCAAGATTTACAAGACACAAGCTTTAGGGTTATAGTAGTTTTGCCACACTAGCATGTTGAGTTGGACTGGGGTGCTGATGTGGACCAACTGACACATGGGTGCCACTTGTCCATGATTGATTTGGACTGGATCTCAAAGTTAGGGTTCTTCATAGGGTGTTTTGTGCAAGATTTATAAGACACAAACTTTAGGGTTTGGATTTCTTTGCTTCCAAGGGGGCATCTGCAAATGTTGAAGCATATGCACATGGCAGCGGCGGTGGATTGGCTAGCCCAAGGCCGGTGATGGCTCGCAGGGGTTACGGCTTGGGTAGGGGGCTCAGGGGCTCGTGCGACAACACTAGGAGGTTGAGTGGAGGCAAGCTCGGGCGCAGATGAGGGAAGGAGCGAAGATGGCAATGCTCTACTAACCGGTGAGGCTCAACGGTGACCTGCCACGAAGGATGACGGTGGCCACGTGAGGACGTCAAGCGGGCTCAGCAAGACGGTGGCCATGCGGGGACGTCGAGCGGGCTTAGCAAGACAATGGCGGACGGCCCCATGGGCACTTCCTTGGATTGGAGGGGCAGGTGGCAGGGGTCCAGCAGGCAGCAGGTACGCGACTAGGAGGCGCGCAGCAACTTGGGCTCGAGGGCCATGGCGCGGCGGTGTTGGGGCAGGCCAGAGTTTAGTGGGGAGGGGTGGGTCGTGGCGTGGCCGAAGGTGGGGGCCACGACCGGCTCGGACTAGGCACGCTGAGGCCGTGTGGCGGGGCTCGGAGCTCAGGTGAATGGCACGGCGGCGGCGAGGGACGTCGACGTAGGGGCGCCTGAAGGAGGAAGAAGGTGAGAAGGATTATGACCTTCTCACTTACAAGCAGGACCCACGTGTCAGCCGGTCCATGTCATCACCCTAGTCCAACTCAGTGCGCTAGCATGGCAAAACCACTATGCAAAACCACCTTAGGGGTAGTTTAAACGGTTTAGCAAAGGTTAGGGGTTAAAAACCCGGTTTTGTAGTTGAGGGGTTGATGTAGTCGGGGGTCGATACGTTTGGGGGGGGTTATGTAGACTATTTTCAATGAAATTGTTAGTGGCACAACACGACTAAGTCCCCATTTGGGTGAGCAGTGCTAGTGCTAAAGTTTAGCACCCATTAGCGCTTATTTCGTAGCTAATATATTTGAGTCTTGGCGAAAGTTTAGCACCAACCATTAGCACTCCCGTTTGAATGGGCTAGTGGTATAGTTTAGCACTTTCATCCATTAGCACTTGATCCAAACAGTGCCTAACAATAGACACCCAATAAAGAAACAAATAGTGTAAGTTCAAACTACCAAAGTCCATCTACTTGGGCCAGCGTGACAATAAGAACATGGTGCAAATAGTCGATGAAGCAAACATATCATGTTATATATTCGCAACAGCAACAGTAAAATCAGGGTGTAAGCTGTATGCAAGTGAACGAGATGGAACCAACGCCCTTTTGCCATTCAAGTCCAGATTCAGTATTGCAAGCTTTGCAGTGCGAAGTCAGAAACCTAGGTAAAATGTGAAAATGTATGCAATGTAAAATAATGTAAAAGTCTAAGTGTGAAATTATTTTAATATTTTTCGTGGTACTGTGCAACTAATTCAGTTGTATAGGACTACTACTAGTAGTAAACGCTAAACAAGAATACCTTTTGTGCAAACGGAAATTGGCAGAAAAATGTACAACTAATAAACAAGATGAAATGTGCAACTAGCCATAATTCAAGTGGCGCGAACGAGATCATCCAACTCAGCAGTTATTAAGCGGTGGACGACCTTAGCAACCCGATGCTCGTATTTTCACTTGTTCCCCCGAGGCCACAACGTTTCCGAACTGACAAAGTGGGGCCCACGTTTCATCAGGGACAAATACTACAACCATGGATTAGGACGGAGCGACCAGAGCTTGTGCGTGACAACCAGAGCGCGTTCATTCGTGGCCGTCTGATCCACGACAACTTCAAGGCGGTGCAGCTCACAGCCAAGCGACTTCACTGCCGCAAGCGTCCCTGTGCTATATCGCTAAGGCATTTGACACTGTGAACCGGTGTTTCCTCCTCTGCATCTTGGAGTTCATGGGCTTCTCCAGACGTTGGCTGAACTGGATTAGTATGTTGCTGTCCTCTGCTAGCACCAAGGTGGTGCTTAACGGGTCTCCGGGACAGCGTATTTGCCATGCGCGTGGCCTCCGTCAAGGTGGCCCCCTATCCCCCTTGCTTTTTGTCATTGTCATGGAGGCCTTGAATGGTCTTCTGCGTGTGGCAACGCTCTCGAGGGTCTGCTGCTCAGCTTCGAGGATCCCTGCATCAAGGAGAGGGTGTTCTTTAATTTTATGCAGACGACGACGTGGTCCTGTTTGTTTCCCCGAGCCAGCAGGACCTCGTCACCGTTAGCACCATCCTTGATATTTTTGGTGGCACGTCTGGCCTCCTATCCAACAAAGAGAAGTGCTTGATCTCTCCGATTCAGTGTGGGCTGGAGGATTCAGTAACTCTTGTCCGTTATTTCCCTGCTCATCTTCAGCCCTTCACATGCACTTACCTGGGAATCCCACTTGCATTACCGAAGTTGCTGCAGCCGCTTATCGACAAGATCAGCTGTGGACTGCCAACTTGGATGGCAGGGCATCTCGATCAATCGGGCTGGTCGCACCGTGCTCACCAAAGTGAAATTATCAGCTATACCCATCCACGCGGCCATCGCTGTGACCCTTTCCCCGTGGGTGATCAAATGCATTGACAAGCGGCGGCGCGCGTTTCTCTGGAGAGGCACCGAGATGGTGTCCGGAGCCCAGCTTTGATTTATAATAAGTAGAGGATAGCAACAGTCATTACATGCGCGAGTGGCGCTACTCAATGCAGCCTAAGTTACCGGGAGTTTGAAAAAAGCAATGTCGCTATTACATAGCATCGTTTTGAACAACAAAAAGGGGCTTTAGGAAGGTGCCCCCCGCCATGGCCCATAGCTGACATGCATCTTTAATCTCCGCAAACAAGGCAGGTTCAGGCTTCGCATTCTCTCTGAAGACTCTTGCATTCCTCTGCTTCCATATGCTCTAGAGGGTTAGGGTTGTCAGACTGTGGCCAACTCTATTGCCAGTCGTCACCACCTGCTCAAGCCATGCTTCCAGATCCTGTGCCTGAAGCCATTGTGCAGGGTTCAAATTTGGACAACCACTCCAAGTCGATACTAGCACCCAGACCCGTCGGGAGTAAGGGCATTCGATAAACAGATGGTGGGCAGTCTCAAGATTTCTTTCACACAAGGCGCAGAAGTAATTGTTCTCCCATCCGCGCAATTGCAGCCTCGCTGACGTCCACAATCTGTTCTGGAGGAGCAGCCACAAGAAGAACTTGCACCTTGGAGGTGCCCATGACTCCCAGATCAGTTTAGGAAAATTGGAGAGGTATTGGCCTTCGAATTGAATTTTATAGGCTGACTTTGCAGAATACTTCCCGGAGCTCTCAAGAGTCCATGTTATGGTGTCTTCTCTATCATCTTCAAGGTATAAATGGGCTGCGTCGATGGCTCTCCAAATTTTGAAAAATTCATCCAACAGTGGTTGCGTCAGGCTGTGAGCGATGTCTCCAATCCAACATCCGCCCACAATTGCATCTCTGACCGATCTGTTCTTGCGTCGGTTATGGCTGTAAAGGAGTGGGCATAGCTTTGACGGAGCCTGGCCATTGAACCAGCTAGAGAGCCAGAAGGATGCTTTCCTCCCATTGTGGACGGTTACTGTTGTGGCAGCGTTGAAGAGGCTAATGTCCACCGAGTCGACCGGTAGTTCTGTCCCGTTCCATGGCCGTTCGGGGTTGGTCCAATTGAACCACAGCCACCTTGGGCGCAGTGCTCTGCTGAAGCGTTCCAAATCCAAAATGCCTAGGCATGTTAGGCTCGTCGGCAGCGAACGGCCGGACTCAGGGAAGAATTTACGGTGTCAACGATGTATATTCATAGAAGTGCTTGTTCTCTACTAGGAAAATAATACAGAAGCAGATTTCATGATCCCCCCTTCCTCTCACTACCGAACTCATATACTCGCTTCGACTCTCTCTTCTCAGCATCGAACCAGTGGGCCGACGAAGTGGACCTCACGCCGACTCGGGCTTCTCGTTACGAGTCACGCAGGCCCATTCCGGCCCAGACAATCTGGCTCTCTTCCTCTTGGGCCTTGGTGCTGCCGACGGGTTCCCACGGTGAGGTTTGCTGACATCCCTCCCACCTTGAGTGCCGACATGTCCCCATGCCGGAGCACCAAGGAAGCACTGCATGATGGTGTCGGCGTCCTCCCAGGTAGCAAGGTCGTCGTTGAGACCGGACCACTTGATCAGCAACTGCTTGACGGAGTGGGTACCGCGTTGATGAAGTCTGGACTGCAGCACGCGCTCCGGGACTTGCATGTTGTTGTCGAGGTCGGGGAGCCTGGCGGAGACTGCTGGAACAGCGGACGACGCCGGCTTCAACATCGAGACGTGGAACACCGGGTGGATTGAAGACGTCGGTGGAAGCTCCAGCTTGTACGCCACTGCTCCGATCTTGGACAGTACCTTGAAGGGACCGAAGTATTTGAAGCACAGCTTGTGGTGGGAGCGCGGCGCCAAAGACGACTGAACGTAAGGCTACAGACGGAGGTAGACGAAGTCGCCAGCCTGGAACGAACGTTCCGAGCGCTTCTTGTCCGTCTGGTGCTTCATGCGCTGCTGGGCTCGAAGGAGATGCTGACGTACAGAGGCCAGCATGGTGGTGCGCTCCGCCAGCATGGAGGCGACATCCAACACAGGGGAAGCAGTAAGTTCAGTAATACCAAAATGACGAGGAGATCGACCGAACAGTACCTCAAATGGAGATTTCCCCAAAGCTGAGTGTGAACTGGTATTGTACCAGTATTCAGCAAGTGGTAGCCACTTCAACCACTGTCTTGGGCATGAATGAACAAAACACCGCAGGTAAGTTTCGAGGCATTGGTTGACACGTTCGGTCTGACCGTCAGACTGAGGATGGTAGGCTGAGCTCATAGCCAAAGTGACTTGGGCAAGACGAAAGAGCTCGCGCCAAAACTGGCTGGTAAAGATGGGATCACGATCTGAGATGATATGAGTAGGCAAGCCATGAATTTTGAAGATGTTGTCGAGGAAGGCTTGCGCTACTCTTTGGGCTGTATAAGGATGATGTAATGGAATGAAATGTGCGAATTTACTTAGCTTATCCACAACCACCATGATGCAGTTTGCATGTCCAGAAGGTGGTAAGCCATCGATGAAGTCCATGGAAACCATTTGCCAGGCTTCTATAGGAACTGGAAGAGGAGAAACGAGACCCGGGTAGCGGACTCTATCTGGTTTGGCCTAGTGGCAAACTGAGCAAGCAGCAACAAAAGCTTTGATGGACTGCTTCATACCGCGCCAGAAAAATAGCTTCTTAATGCTGTTGTAAGTGACTGGAAACCCGAAATGACCTCCCAGCGCGCTGTCATGAAGGGCTGAGATAATGTTTTGCTGCAGTTGATGGTTGTTGCCAACCCACATGCGACCTGAGTAGCGAATGACTCCATGATGCAAGGTGAATGGTGGATGGCTGTGAGAGTTGAGAGACAGCTCCTGGAGCAACTTGGAAGACTCAGGGTCAGATGCATAACCGGCGGTAACATCTACAAGCCAAGCCGGAGTGGAAATGGATAGAGCTTGGAGTTGGGATGGCGGGTTTGGATGATGAGACAAGGCATCGGCTGCAGAATTGGACGTGCCGGGCTTGTAAACTACCCTGTACTGAAGATCGGCCAGTTTGGTGTGCATCTTGAGCTGCCACTGAGTCTGCAGGCGCTGATCAGTGATGTGCATGAGGCTGCGTTGGTCAGTAAAGATGGTAAATTCGCTATGCTGGAGATACGAACGCCACTGCTCGACTGCCACTAGGATTGCCAGGAACTCCTTTTCATAAGTAGACAGAGCTCTAGTTCGGGGGCCAAGTGCTTTGCTAACAAATGCAAGTGGGTGGCCATCTTGTAACAGGACTGCTCCAACACCCAAGTCGTTGGCATCAGTCTGCAGCTGAAATGGCTTACTGAAGTTCGGCAGGGCGAGCACCGGAGCTGAAACAAGGGCAGACTTCAAAGCATCCATAGCAGCTTGGTGAGATGGAGTCCAAATGAATATAGATCCCTTCTTGAGAAGATCAGTCAGAGGTCTGGCCAATGTAGCAAAGTGCTTCACAAACTTATGGTAGTAGCCGGCTAACCCCATGAAGCCGCGGAGCTCTTTGATATTCTATGGTGGAGGCCACTGCTAGACATACTCGATCTTGCTGGGGTCTGTAGACACACCATTATGGTTGACAATGTGTCTAAGGTATGAAATGGATTGCTGTGCAAAACGACATTTGGAGATCTTAACTTTCCATTGGTCTCTTGCTAACAAGGTAAAAACCTGGTGAAGGTGCTGAATGTGGTCTTCGAGAGTACGGTTGTACACAAGAATGTCGTCGAAGAAAACCAGAGCACACTTACGCAACAAAGGGTAGAGAGTGGTGTTCATGGTGCCTTGGAAGGTATTTGGGGTGCCGATCAATCCGAAGGCCATGACAGTAAACTCAAACTGACCCCAATGTGTTTGGAAGGCTGTTTTATGTTCTTCACCGGGTGCCAGACGAATCTGATTAAAGCCAGCCCGGAGATCCAAGCAAGAAAACCAGCGGGCGTGGGCTAACTCATCCAACAGCTCATCCACCACTGGGATAGGAAATTTACTCTTGACAGTCAAGGCGTTGAGCATCCTGTAGTCAACGCAGAACCGCCATGTACCATCTTTCTTGTGGACCAAGAGCACCGGGGAAGAGAAAGCACTCGAGCTTGGTTGTACCATGCCTGACTGCAGCATCTCAGAAACTTGTTTTTCAATCTCATCCTTGAGCGCCGGCTTGTAACGGTACTGACGGAGAGCCACTGGGGGGACACCGGGAACCAATGGAATATGATGGTCGCATTGACGGCGAGGTGGCAGCTCAGATGGTTCTTGGAATAGCTCAGAAAATTCTTCAATGAGGTGCTGGATGGCTGGAGGAAGCTCAGGAGGGGCCGGTGAAGTAGCAGAAGCAGCAATGTGGCAAAGTTGCATGATACAATGCTGATCAGAATCCGGCAACAGGCCCTGAAGGACGACATGGTGCTGGCCATAAGGAATGCTCATCCACTTTTGTTGCCAATCAACCCTCATAGGCGAGAATGCCTCTAACCAATCCATACCGATAATCATGTCATAAGAGCCCAACTACAGGATGCGCAGAGTAGAGTGGAAGGTGTAGCCTTGAACTGACCATTCAGCACAGCTGACTTTGGCAGAGCAGAGAATAGAGCCCCCATCAGCCACTCTTACTGTCATTGGTTTACGAAGAGGCCTCAGATTTGGCAGACCGGTTGCAATGCAGGAACTCAAGAAGGAATGGCTGCTTCCGGAATCCACCAAAATGACGACATCACGGCCCAGCAATGATCCTTTGAATTGCATTGTTCTAGGAGCAGCTGAACCAGAGGCCGCAGCAGAGGATAACATCATGAAAGCCTGAACATCGGTGGGCTGATCAGCTTCTTGGATAGGACTATCGACAGCTTCCTGAAATGCCTCGGAGCACAGGTCCCAGACTTCTTGAAGAGCATGAACTTGTGGAACTAGGGCACACCGATGGCCTATAGCCCACTTGTTGCCACAGCGAACACAGAGTCCACGTGCTCGCCTGTAATTTCGTAGTGTGGACAGCTTGTCGTCGATGGAAGTAGACTTGGTTGGAACTCGCTTCTCAGGAACCGGATCTTGCACAGCTTGGGGACGCCGGGGTGGAAGAGGCAAGGGAAGAGCACCCTTGATTGTTGCCGTGCGAGCGAACGGGGACGCTTCCGAGCACTTGAATTCCTTGTGGGTACCTTGGTCCAGCGCCTCTTCCTGTAACAAGGCGAGAGTACAAGCAGTATCGAGGTTTTGGAGTCGAGCAACCATAACAACAGAGCGAATGTCTTCGCGTAAACCATCAACGAAGCGAGTAGTAAAGTAGAGTTTATCAGGGTGAGGATTGTAGGCTTTGAGCTGTTCAAAAAGATCAGTGAACTTTTCGATATAAACAGAAATAGTGGAAGTGTGTTTAATGTGGAAAAGCTGGTGTAAGAGCAGCTCATGCTGATCACGGCTAAATCTCTCATGGATGAGGTTAGAGAATGACTCCCAGGATATGTTATGAACTTCAGACTCGACAGACTGAAGCCAGCGAGCTGCGGCATGGGTGAAATGGTGAGTGGCCACACGAACCCAGATCGCTAGATGAACCGAGTACATTTCGAAATGGGAACGAGCATGGGATAGCCACAGCTTAGGATTATCCCCATCGAATTGAGGAAACAACATCTTAGGGAGTTGGCCTAAATTGGGATTGGCGTGATGGGGAAAGTAATTAGGCTACGGGGAATTGGGTATGGAGTTGGGATGTGGGACTATGTGCTGTGGATTGGAATGGGGAGAATATTGCGGTGGTGGAAATGGAGACGGCTGGTAGTATGGTGGTGGGTATGGGTTCGGCGGTGGTGGAGGAGGTTGAGGAGGGTACGGAAGCGGTGGCGGAGGGGGAGGATATGGGGGTGGAGGAGGAGGAGAATGGAACTGTAACGGCGGCGGAGGAGGATTGGGGGTGGGTAACGTACCATTGGTCGGGAACGGGGCTATGGTCGTGACCGAACCATACCCCGCATCCCGTGTTGGTGAGGCGACGCCGTGCCCACTGGGCCAGTCAGTCGTTGCTCCGGCAGGTGCGCGCCCGACGACCAACTCCAGAATACCCTTGGGCTCGGGAGATCCACCATTAGGAGCAACGCTGGATCGATTCTAGAGCTTGGACAGCCGATCCACCTCCGAGCGAATGGTGAAGAGGGAGCTCTCGATCCGGGGACGCCAGGCGGCGAATGCCTCCGAGGCGGATTCCAGGGCGGTTACCCGCTCGTCGTGCTCGTCCTGGATCTCGACGTAGCGCACCATCTCCAGATCATGGACGCGCCCCTCCAGCTCGCTGACGCGTTCGGAGAAGTGGCCGCCCTAGTTGTCAGCGATGATGGCGGCGGTGTACTGGGCGGAGGTGTATTGCTCCAAGGAGTCGAGGCGGCGGTCGACGGCGGAGTCGTGCTCAGAGCGGACGGCCTTCGTCTCGGTGAAGCGTCGATCCAGATGGGCACCGAGACCGTCGAACTCGGAGCGGAAGGCGTCGAAGCGGTGAATCAAATCATCGAACATCTGGCGGACCACGGGATCCATGGCGCCGTGGGAGCGTTGAAGGCGAGTGAAGTGGGGATGGGCGGGTGGGAGGATCTCCAGCACGCGCGGTGGCCGGGGGTCGACGGCTCTGGTACCAATGTTAGGGTCGTCGGCAGCGAACGGCCGGACTCAGGGAAGAATTTACAGTGTCAACGATGTATATTCATAGAAGTGCTTGTTCTCTACTAGGAAAATAATACAGCAGCAGATTTCATGATCCCCCCCTTCCTCTCACTGCTGAACTGATATACTCGCTTCGACTCTCTTCTCAGCATCGAACCAGTGGGCCGACGAAGTGGACCTCACGCCGACTCGGGCTTCTCGTTACAAGTCACGCAGGCCCATTCCAGCCCAGACAATCTGGCTCTCTTCCTCTTGGGCCTTGGTGCTGCCGACGGGTTCCCAGCGTGAGGTTTGCTGACACCTCCAAACTCAGTCGGCCGCGCCACCAGCGTCCACACCACTTTGCACTTGCCACCCGTCAGCTCGCTGTCACCTGCCCATAAGAACCACCGCAGTGCTATGTCGATTTCCTGAAAATGCTGTTTTGGCGCCTTAAGGGCGGTCAACAGATAGGTCGGGATTGAGCTCATGACTGATCTGACCAGTTCCCTCCTGCCTACTATATTTAGGAGTTTTCCTTGCCATCCTGCCAGTCTCGATCTTGAATTGTCCACCACCTTTAATCGGCCGAGGGTTAATGGCAATCCCAAGTATGTTAGTGGGAACCCCACTCTTGTTCCAGCAAATGTCTCCAGAATCTGATCCAAGTTTAGCTCCGAGCATCTTATCGGTGCAACCATGCATTTCTCCATAATCAGCTTAAGTCCGGTGGCTTCCCCGAAGTTACCCAAGATCGAGAACAGAGCTGTAACCTCAGACTGGATGGGATTGATGAAGATGACCGTGTCGGCTTGGTCCAAGTGTTGCAGACCAGCTGAGCTTGGCGGTCTTGGTCTCTCCAATCTGCAGGTTTTCGGTCAGGCCCTGCGTTTGCGTTGGCTTTGGTTCAGGAAAACTGACCAGGACAGACCGTGGTCGCGTTTGCCTGACCAAGTCGAGCCTCAAGCTGAGGCGCTGTTTCATGCTTCAATCACAGGTGATACTCAACGGTAGCATTTATTTGAAATTCAACATATTTTCCTCAGGCCATTGATTCAGATAAGATGGATGAGACAGTACTTGTACAGTCCAATTCGAGGTGTGATGAACCTTTTTTTTTTGATAAGTTTGTTATGAACCTTAGTGGGCGCCCAAAGAGGCAGCAGCTCCTCCTCTGCTGACTGCAGTTACTCTGCTCTGACATTAGAACAGCTTCAGACTTCAGAATGAAGCTTCAAGTCCAGGAGAAACTATCAAAAATCTACCTCAAAAGCAGAACATAATAATATAAGGAAAAAGGAACAGAACGCTTAATTATAAGCCGAAGTATCTCACAAGAAGAATCTCACAAGAACAATCGTAGCGTTGAGAAGGATTCGGTAAGATTTGGAGTCAAAGTGACCGTCGAATTGGGGTTTGACTTTAAAACTTTTTGTATAAGCAATAGAGAACATAGATTGATTCATGTGTAATTTTGGTAAGTTTTTGGATACGTTTGATAATTTTAAATTATTAAGTGTAATTATAAGATTTTTATTGATATAGATTGAATTTGAGCTATAACTGCATGAAATAATAAGTTTTTTTCTCTTCTGGCCTTGAATCTTTTTCTACTCTCTACATATATACAACATGTGGTACTCTATGTTAGGATTTGGTATATTTCTGGATCTGTTTGCTATATTTAATTAATTTATTGCATTTCAAGAAATTTTTTTGGGTATAAGTCAAATTTTAACAGCAAATGATTCAAATAATAGAATAAAATGAGTAGAAAATGATATTCATGTTATTGAGTCCGGTGTGAGGCCTTACCCAGGAAATGAAAAGAAATTTCGAACATCTTGTTCAGGAAACTCGACCACGAACGTGTGGCCGAATGGTTTTTAAATTCTAAAAAAAGCAAACGATGTCTGAAAATCATAAGATTTGTCAAGATCTCGTGATATCATACGTGGAGGCCGTGGTAAAAAAATGAGAATGTTTCGCACAATCTGTCACGTACGATGTTTACAAACCGAAGTATCTCACAAGAAGAATCGTAGCGTTGAGAAGGATTCGGTAAGATTTAGAGTCAAAGTGACGGTCGAATTAGGGTTTGACTTCAAAACTTTTTGTATAGGCAATAGAGAACATAGATTGATTCATGTGTAATTTTGGTAAGTTTTTGGATACGTTTGATAATTTTAATTTATTAAGTGTAATTATAGGATTTTAATTGATATAGATTGAATTTGAGTTATAACTGCATGAAATAATAAGTTTCTTTTTCTTCTGGCCATGAAACTTTTTCTACTCTCTACATACAACATGTGGTACTCCATGTTAGGATTTGGTATATTTCTAGATATGTTTGCTATATTTAATTAATTTATTGCATTTCAAGAATTTTTTTTGGTATAAGTCAAATTTGAACAGCAAGTGATTCAAATAATATAATAAAATGAGTAGAAAAATGATATTCATGTTATTGAGTCCGGTGTGAGGCCTTACTAGGGAAATAAAAAAGAAATTTCGAACATGTTGTTCAGAAAACACGAACACGAACGTGTGGCCGAATGGTTTTTAAATTCTAAAAAAAGCAAACGAAGTCTGAAAATCATGAGATTTGTCAAGATCTCATTATATCATACGCGGAGGCCATGGTAAAAAATTGAGAATGGTTCACACAATCTGTCACATACGATGTTTACAAACCAAAGTATCTCACAAGAAGAATCGTAGCGTTGAGAAGGATTCGGCAAGATTTGGAGTCAAAGTGACGGTCGAATTAGGGTTTGACTTCAAAGCTTTTTGTATAGTCAGTAGAGAACATAGATTGATTTATGTATAATTTTGGTAAGTTTTTGGATACGTTTGATAATTTTAATTTATTAAGTGTAATTATAGGATTTTAATTGATATAGATTGAATTTGAGCTATAACTGCATGAAATAATAAGTTTTTTTCTTTTCTGGCCATGAAACTTTTTCTACTCTCTACATACAACATGTGGTACTCTATGTTAGGATTTGGTATATTTCTGGATCTGTTTGCCATATTTAATTAATTTATTGCATTTCAAGTAATTTTTTTGGTATAAGTCACATTTGAACAACAAGTGATTCAAATAATAGAATAAAATGAGTAGAAAAATGATATTCATGTTATTGAGTCTGGTGTGAGGCCTTACCCGAGAAATGAAAAGAAATGTCAAACAATAACGTGTGGCCGAATGGTTTTTGAATTCTAAAAAAAGCAAACGAAGTCGAAAATCATGAGATTTGTCAAGATCTCGTGATATCATACGTGGAGGCCGTGGTAAAAAAATGAGAATGTTTCGCATAATCTGTCACGTACGATGTTTACAAACCGAAGTATCTCACAAGAAGAATCGTAGCGTTGAGAAGGATTCAATAAGATTTGGAGTCAAAGTGACGGTCGAATTGGGGTTTGACTTCAAAACTTTTTTATAGCCAATAGAGAACATAGATTGATTCAGGTGTAATTTTGGTAATTTTTTGGATCCATTTGATAATCTTAATTTAGTAAGTGCAATTATAGAATTTTAATTGATATAAATTGAATTTGAGCTATAACTGCATGAAATAATAGAATAATATTCCTAGAAAAATCAAATATATATTGTTTAGTGAATTTGAGAAGGTATTTTCAAAGTATATCGGAACAAATTGAGGAAAACACGTTATGGAAAAGAAGGAAAATGAAAAAAATAAGTTTGCGAAGTTTGCCGAGTGTCCCTGATATGGCACTCGGCAAACATGTAGTTTGCCGTGTTAGACCTGGGACACTCGGCAAACAGTTTCACGGGCCCCACACATGTGCAGTAGTTTAGGATTTGGATATGAAAAAAAATAAAACAGTTTTGCCGAGTGCCCGCTATCTAACACTCAGGAAACCTATAGTTTGCCGAGTGTTAGAACTGGGACACT